CGATGGATATCGATGTATCGTATGAAAACATCGATATTTTCGATGCATCGAATGAAAATTTCAACAGTTTATTTCAATTAAAAATATACAACAAGAAAATGAAACAATCGTTGCTTCGATGAGTGTATAACCCACAGTGGAATGTATTAATTGATTTAAAGTGTTTTTTCTGTTCTTTTGAGAAGCCTTCGAAAAAAATTTTCGGAAGGTACGGAAGTGGCGACAATCGTTAAATGTTTATAAGCATAATGAAATATTAGTGCGATTCATAAAGTTTCGCAAAGTGGCATTTTTGGCGAAATGGCAATGTTGCGAAGAAAGTTGTACGAACAATCTATCGCAACTCCGGATTGCAAATGTAAAATTTTTTAAAAATGCCGCGCGTAAGAGAAAAAGAAAACTTTTTACAATTATAATTCGAAGCAGCCTTAACTGATATACTTTTTCTTGAAGTATTGAAGACACTAAAAAAAATGTGTTTCGCGACTTTGATTTTGCAGTGATTGCCAGCTCAAATACTATGGCAATGTCGCAATTTTGTCGCAAGAAAGTTCCCATCCAAAATAATCAGTTGCGTAGGAAGGTGGCAAATTTTGCGGCAAATGCGACATTTGAAACAACTTTGCGACGTTTCATGAATCCCACTAATATAAATTGTGCCAGCTAGCAATGACATTCCATTTCGGTACACTCATTTGGCAATTTATAATCATCATTTTTTCCTTCATTTGACTTTCATGTTAACGCTTTTGAGTGAGGAATTATGAAGTTTTTTGATTTGAGTAAAAAATAAAAACATGCCAATAAATTATTGTGCAAAAGCACACATAACGTTGCAGTACTGAGGTTTTCAGTCCATCAGATAAGGCTCTAAGCCGAAATCGGGCAGAGGTATGCAACAAAACCAAGGGTTAATGCCAGAATTGAAAAAACGAAAATTACGAAACTAAAATTTTGCTTTGAAATAAGCTTACATAAAACTGGATGGCATAGTTTATATTATTTCAATATTTTGGTAAGCTATGTACGTGAAACAATTTTGGAAATTGCTGTTTAAAATCTGTCCCAATTTCCAAATGGTTTTAGAGTGTCAATATCTTTTCAATTAATATTAGAGGGCTGCATGAATTCATTCAAACTTATAGCCAAACAGAGTACAGTAGATTTGAATATTTTACTTCACATACAAAACACTCAGCGTTTGTAAGTTATGAATATAGATTTTTTTTAATTTTCTACCTTCAAATGTGAATGAATGAAATGTAAATGAATGAATGGAAAACATTCAAATCATTGAAACCCATTTCGATAAAAGTGTTTTTCTACAAACAAGTTTGTTCGTATTGTAATAGGAGCGCAGCAATAAATACATACATACATATGTGTGTTTGTACATATGTATGTGCATAGAAAAAATATTTTTGAATATTCATAAAAAAAATTGTCATTTATTTCAATTCAATTTATTTTCACTTTGTTTGAATATTGTAATGTCGACACATATATCAGAACAGCCATTCACTCAAATTCATAAAAATTTGAAACCGAAATCATTCATTCGTTTTGTGTATGAACAATTCATACGCCGTTTTGAATGAATTCATGCAGCCCTCCTATTAATATCATATTGTAGATGGTATTTTGGCACTAAACATTTCTATTAAAAAAAATAGCAATTTATAGTGCAATAACATTTTGGATAATATTAATAGAATGTATGTACATATATTCTAATAGTGCATAAATAGTGAAAATCACATTTAGAATAGTTGCTAGAGCGAAGAGTTTGGAAGCATACAAAATAATTTTAGTATGTACAAACAAAAGTCGATGCATCGAAAAAAATACATCGATATATCGATGTATATCGGAAGGTCCAAAACATCGGTATTATTCGATACATCGAATACCAAACATCGATGTTTCCGTTGCATCGACGTGTTTTGTGCATCTCTAATACGGCTCATAACTCGTTCCACCGTTAGAGTTATTGTCTTGTTCTATTTATCTTCTTTGACAATACAGTCGACCGGCATGCCGTTTTAATCCTCAGTAAATATACAAGATGGAAACAACACAATTAGGTGAGTTGGTATTCTATCCAATTGGGAGTAGGATTTTCAACATCGATTTCTCCGATATCGATATTGTACAGACCGATATATCGCCATATCGATTTTACATGCAATGTATTAAATTGATTCCTAATACCGATTCTTAAATATCGAACATTCCTACTCTGAGTGTGGCTGTAAGTCACTTTGGAATTGATTCACTCTCTAAAAGTAAAGTATGTTCAGTGTTGCTAGTTTAGCCGTTTTCCGGCTAGATTTAGCCGGTTGCGATAGCAAACAGCCGGAGGAAATTTGGTTTAAACGGCAGCCGATTTGTTAGCAGGTTTGAAAAAAAAAAGTTAGCCGGTTTTAGCCGATTTTGCTATAGGCCTTATTTTCTTAAAATTACAATACATAAGTTTCCTTTGTTAAAAATTTAGCAACCCAAAATTTATTAGCCTAGCTAGCCTTATCTCGGAGAAAGTTTTCATGTTGGACTATGATATATAAAATTGAAAGAAAATTTTTTCTTATCCGAAAAGTCCTAAGATACTGGGCAGATTTCAATGATTTTTATTTTAAGCGAATATACTGAGACATACATACTGAGTCATACAAAAAAAAATCCAAAAATCAACGGTAGGTCCCAGCTACTTCAAATCTGCACCATATTATATTAAAATTTAATAGCCTATACAACTGCATACCATAATTTTTCTAAAGATTAAAGATTAAAAAGTTAAACCTTTTGGTGAAATTTTAAAGGATTTTCATAATTTTCGCACAAAGATTGAAGTTGGTATTTATATGGTATTTGTTAAGTAATCAGCTATTTTTTTTATAACAAAATAATAAACATTAAATATACTAAGGAAAAAGGGCCAAAACTTACTAAAATGTCGTGACCCACTTTATATTTGGGCCACTGTACTTTTTCCAAAGAAGGACGTAGAGGGGATTTACTTCACACAATTTTTGTAACGAATGTCTTAGATTTAGGTGTGAAGTTTTATTCGCAACACTTCGAAAATAACGAAACAAAGCAACCTCTCTGGGAAGACGATATCTGTTAATAACTTTATCAGGCATGTGCAGAGAGGTCGTTGAAAAACGGGAACGTTTCGAATATATGGACACAAAAATAAAATTAAACAGTTTAATTGTTGAAAACAAAAAGCGACCTGCTTTTTCGATATATATGTAAATTAGTGGCATTATTTTCTCGAAATAATGCTGCCTCAGCCCTTTCACAGCTTTACTTGTTCATTTCATAAAATATTGCCCTCCGAATAAGCAAAAGTGCAATACTTTCTAATAATATAGCCATTTTGAAGGACAAGAGATAATCTAGTGCAAATGTTACAATATAAGAAGACAAACTTTTTTAATAGAAGAGAAAACGTCATAAGTTTGTAATTGATCTTTTTTGTGTATTTACATAAGTAATACAAACATGACTTCTGATGTAAAGCTTAGCTACGTATAACGAGAGCATCGTACAGTTCCACAAGTAACGAAACTCTTCTTCTTATCGTTTGTTCTGGCAGGCTGTAGGTGGGTTTTTGGTTAGTGTATTGGTGTTTTTGGTTCAGTATGTTAGTGTATTTTGAATAAATTGTAATAGAAATGGAAGAAATTTTCAAAGATAAGAGCAAATGCCAAAAAAAAAAACAGGTGATCTCAGCTGTAGGCATTTTTTGGCTGATAGTCTTTTTTTACTTAGGAAACTGTTCGATGAACGACGAAAAAAATGAATGAATTTACCAGTCTCAGTTTTTTCAAATTTATTTAATGAATTTACTAGTATTTCTACTTTTGATTTATTTAAATAAAACATGTGAATTTTTGATGAAACATTTTAGCCGCTTTTTTTTGGCCCATTTAGCCGGTCGGCCCAAAAAGTTCTGGCAACACTGATACCATGTTCGGATTAGGAATGTTCGATATCGTATCGATTATTCTGAATATCGATATATCAAAGACATAGATACTTTACCCGCAAAATCGATATCTCAAAATCGATGTATGGGAAAATACTAAAGTAGGTTTAATCAGCAGCTTGTGGGATTTATTTAGCTCTTAAGCTTGACAAACCGCTTGATTCGACCGGCATGCCGTTTTAATCCTCAGTAAATATACAAGATGAAAATAACACTGTCACCGCACGCACCCTTTATGGGTAAATTATCGATGGAAACTACGTTTACACATCTTTAGTAAGATGCACATCTGCAGGTATTAGTCCATAATTTCATTTCTTGTGTATTCTTTGTAATTTTTCGTGTAAAAATTACTGCAGTGCGCCATTCTCCTTTGCTCTTTGTATGCATATTCGCTTGATCCTTCGTGTAAAACCGTTTGCGCAATGGAAATAAAAGGTTTCCACCAGCATTAGCGCGCACAAATATTTTGTTAGCCGTCGTCAAGCAAAGGAGAAAGACACACTGCGGTGAGTATATTTGCGTTTAAACTTGTCAAACTGTGAAACTTATAAATTCCTTTACATAGAAATAAACCGCGCTATATTTTATCGAGCCCGATTTTTGGTTAAGTTCGCCAGCACTTTATTATTGGATTCGGCGGGTAACAAGCTTTATTTCGCAATCGCAGTATAATTTGAAAAAGCTTTCGTTTGCTGTTTGTGCATAATTTACGTTTATCGCAGCAGCAGGTTCACTTTTATTGCAAATACTTAAAGCGACTTTGCCAAACGTCACATTTGCATCCCTCCATCGTTTTTATTGTTTTTTGTCTTGGAAGATGACACGTGAACTTCCACGCCGATGCACCCGCTCAAATGCGGAAAGCGATTCCAACAACGCCACCAGCCAAGCCTGCAGTGAAAGCAATACCACTGCATCAAACGCCGCTTCAACCGCCGAAGTACTTATTACTTCGACTACCAGCGGAGCCCCAGCCAGGGCCTCTACAATTACCGTCGGAAATGTTAATACCCCGCGAGGGATTTTAGCGATGCTGCTCAAGCTCCCGCTGGAGCCACGAATAACCTCCCGGCTATGGAAGCCAGTACTGTAGCTCCATCTGCCGTCGGAGCTGCTAAGGTTGCCTCAGTGAGGGAACACATTAATACTGCTCCCAATATGACCGGAGCCATCAAGGTTGTCCCAGCCAGGGAACCAAGCAATGCCGCCCCTTCTGGCACTGGAACCGTCAAGAAGGTTCCTACCTCCACAGCGTCTGGAGTACCCAAAGGCTCCCCAACCGTCAAATCTCGACCAGAAAATGATCTCTTGGCATTGGAAAGGCGAATTGCTTTGCTGGAAAGAATGCTAAAGGAACGTGATACGCAGTTCGAAATGATGAAACTGGCGCTCCAAGGTAACAGTGCTAACGGTAGCAGCGCTCCCGCGATACACAGCGACGTCGCAACGCAGCCGTCCCCTACGTTGTCGTCGACATAACCGCAAGCTACGTAGCCGTTAACTGTGCATACATATGCGGGGCCAACAGTCGCCGAATCCCGTTATCTGCCGCCAGTCAGTACAGCTACCGTGTACAGTTCACCGCATAATATGAATGCTACCTCAACTGTTCCTGTTGTTGAGCCAATTTCTAACCGTTCGTCTCACGTTCCCTTCCAGTCCGCTTCTGCCTATACGGGTTATGGGAATATGCAATTCTTGCCACACGATCCTAGGGTGTTAAGCAAGATTATTGACTTGCCAGAATTTGGTGGAAAGGCTGAGGACTGGCCTATATTCCATGCAGTCAACAGCAGCATACGGCTACAGCAACTTCGAGAACAACCAGAGGCTACGGAAGTGCTTGAAGGGCGAGGCACGCGAAGTTGTGAAATCGCTGCTCATTCATCCCAACAACGGCAGCTGCATCATCGACCAGTTACAGTTCAGGTGTGGCCGGCCGGAGCAGCTGATACGCAGCCAGTTGGGTCAAGTGCGCGAGATTGCTCCCATTTCCGAAAATGCGATCGGGAAACTGATACCATTCGCCACGAAGGTGAAGAACATTTGCGTTTTTCTCCAGTCTGCCAATGGTGAATATCAGCTTTCTAACCCAACTTTTCTCGATGAGCTCATTGGAAAATTACCTGTGAGTAAGCGGATTGAATGGGGTACCTTTGTATCTACAATCAAGCCTCGGGCCACTGTGGTGCACTTTAGCGAATGGGTCAGTTCACTTGCCAACGTGATATGCATTGTTTATGACGAGGAGCATGGACGAGATTCGAAGCGTAGAGTGGTCCTACATGTAGATAAAAAGCAGCATTCGCGAAGATGCCCAATCTGTGAAGGTGCTCACACAGCTATTGAGTGCAAACGTTTTATCGAGTCAACAGTAGCAGACCGATGGAAGGAAGCAAAATTACGTCGCTTATGTTTCGCCTGCCCGCAAGCCGGTCACTCGACACGTGATTGCCATTGACGGAAACCGTGCTCCATCAATGGGTGCCCTCGAATACACAACAAATTGCTTCATGAGGTTTCAGGCAGAATGAATCAAGAATGATAGAATACAAGATTGCGCCGATTGCAGCAGAATTCGTGAGAGTAATTTTGGAGTGGTGACTGAGAGCCGATTAGAGGTATTTCCATCGGCGCCACCTTCTGTATTCTCTCCACCGTGAGTATGAATAACTCGCAGTCAGAACTAGCACCGAGTCGCAATAGGGGTGAAGCACCATCGCAGCGTGCGGCACGCCAACAGCACAGCAATAGTCATACGCCAGCGCAACAAGTACCTCAACGCCAGCATTCATCGAGTGACACAGAAGCTGCAGTTCTAACCTGCTCCGCTAACGCATTTGAAGGTAAGCTGTTGTTTCGTATACTACCGGTCACTTTATATGGAAAGCACAAGAGCATCGACACATACGCATTGCTGGGTGAAGGTTCCTCAGTCACGTTTCTGGATAACAGACTAGCCCTGGAGTTGGGACTGCAAGGACAACAACAGCGCCTTAACATACAATGGTTTGGTGGTCGCTCAGCGCAAGAGCCTTCGATCTTGGTAAGCGTGTCCATTAGTGGATGCGGCATGAAGACGAAGCACACGCTTCGAAACGTGTATGCGGTGTCGAATCTACAGTTGCCTTCACAAAGTTTATGCAGAGCAGACTTACACTGTGACGACAAGTACAAGCGTCAGTTGCCAGTTCAGCCATACATCGGGGTGATGCCAAAGCTTCTCGTTGGTCTCGACCACTGCCACTTAGGCCTGCCGTCAACTACTTTGAAGATGAGAACATATGGTCCCTTCGCCGCCAACAACGAATCAACATACGAATCAACGAACATATCAATTCTGCGAGCGATGAATCCCTGCATGACCTGGTTGCTAGCTACTTTGCTGTCGAAAATTTCGGGGTGAGCTCATCACCAGCAATCGAGAGCACAGCTGACAGTCGTGCCAAGTCTATTTTAGATTCGGTCACACGTCGGGTTGATGGTAGATTCCAAACAGGTCTTATCTGGAAGCGAGATGACTTCTATCTGCCTAAGAGTTACTTCATGGCGATAAAGAAACTTGTGGGTATCGAGAGGCTCATGAGCCGAGACGCAGGCTTCGCAGCAGCTTACAAAGCAACGATGGACTCCTATATTGCAAAGCGGTATGCACGAAAGCTCGACCCATCGGAAGCCTCAGTGGTAAAGCCTCACACTTGGTATTTACCACATTTTGTCGTGGTGAATCCCAATAAGCCATCGAAGATACGTATGGTGTTCGACGCGGTAGCTGAGGTCAACGGCGTCTCTTTAAACTCCGTGCTGCTGAAGGGTCCGCAAGAGTATCGGTCTCTGCCGTCGATTCTCTTCCATTTTCGCGAAGGAGCAGTCGGAGTATCTGGGGACATTAAGGAAATATTTCACCAGGTATTGATGCAACCCGAAGACAGGTGCGCCCAACGATTTCTTTGGCGCAACGGCGATAGTAGTAGGCAATCGGACGTATACCAGATGTGCGTTATGACCTTTGGCGCTGCTTGCTCGCCATGTGCAGCGGACTATGTCAAAACTGGAAACGCGCTCGAGCATGGCATTAATGTCACAAGCCGAGCGGTGCAATCAATATTGGCCTACCACTACGTCGACGACTTCGTTGATGCTTTCGACTCGCCTGCAGAAGCCATCTCCATCGCGCAAGAAGTTCGAGCCATTCATCTGGACGCCGGTTTCGAGCTCCGAAATTTGGCTTCATATTCGCCAGAGGTAGTTGCAGCTTTGGGTGGCGCAGAAGTCCCGAAATTAATTGCTAGCAAAGAAAGTCTGGCGACTGAGAAGGTCCTCGGTCTATATTGGCAGCCGTCAACAGATGAATTTCAATTTAATTTGCATTTTAACAAAGTTGACCCTCAAGTAGTGAACGGTGGCAAACGCCCAACCAAACGTGAACTCCTAAGCGTGGTTATATCAGTTTTGGACGCGTTCGCCGCCGTCGCCTACTGGAGGGTAGTCAACTATGAGAAGGAGGTGAGTGTTAGTTTCGTATGCGCGAAGACTAAGTGCGCTCCGCTGAAACCGCTCACTATACCGCGACTAGAGCTGCAAGCAGCCGTCTTGGGAACCCGCTTAATGCAGACAATTCGTGAAGAGCACTCCGTCGTTGTAAATGATTGCCTTCTTTGGAGCGACTCTTCAACAGTGATGAAATGGATTCGCAGTTTGCACCGACGATACAAGCCCTTCGTACAGAACCGAGTGGCTGAAATACTAGCATCTACAAGCGTCTCCGACTGGAGGTGGATACCCACTGCGCCGACGAAGCCACACGTTTCAGCAGTCAAGTCGACTTTACCCCAACTGCCCGCTGGATTCAGGGTCCACCATTTCTACGCCAAGAAGAGTGCTACTGGCCCACTGCTGAGATCAGCATCACTCAATAGGGAGAACTCGATGAGGAGCTGCGACAAAAATATGCCATGGTCATCGTGAGTAGTCGCCTTTTAGATTTTGATCGTTTTTCTACATTCAACAGATTGGTGAGAACGGTAGCTTGGGCTCTTCATTTCATCAACCTATGTCGCCATCCTAACTCAGCCAAACGTCGCTATGGCCTGACAGCACCTGACGTTGAAGCAGCGAAGCTACTCATATGCCGCCTTGTACAGAACGAACATTTTGGCCCCGAGATTGAGCGTATTACGAAAGTCCGAGAAGTCTCACGCAACAGCTCACTACGTCAGCTATCTCCATATGTTGACGAGAAAGGTACGCTTCGTGTTTGTGGACGTATTGACGCAGCTAGTTGGCTTCCGATGAGCGCCACGCGAACATACGCTCAACTGTTTCCTGATCGAGGCTGAAAATGTCATCAATTCGCGCCCACTTACTCACTAGCCAATTTCGGTTGACCAGGAGCAGCCGCTAACACCCAACGATTTTTTGTTAGGATGCGATAACACAGTGCTAACTCCAGTTGCAGCTGATGTACTAGAAGGTACATGTGCCTTGCGTCAACAGTGGCGTATTGCCCGACAATTAAGGGATCACTTCTGGAAGCGTTAGGTATCGGAATATTTGCCTACATTAATGAGGCGAGTTAAATGGTGCGAAAGGACAACGCCATTAAAGGAGGGTGATCTCGTCTTTATTTGCGATCCCAATGTGCCGCGTAGAGAATGGGAACCTCCACCGGCATCAAGCAGCGTGCTGTTTCCAAGGTTGCCGTCTTGGATGTTGAAGTGGGTGAATCGGACCGATCCACGGGGGCGGGGATGTCACCGAACGCTCCCTTTATTGGTAAATAATTGATGGAAACTACGTTTACACATCTTTAGTAAGATGCACATCTGCAGCTATTAGTCCATAATTTCATTTCTTGCGTATTCTTTGTAATTGTTCGTGTAAAAATTACTGCAGTGCGCCATTCTCCTTTGCTCTTTGTATGCATATTCGCTTGAGCCTTCGTGTAAAACCGTTTGCGCAATGGAAATAAAAGGTTCCCACCACCATTAGCGCGTACAAATATTTTGTTAGCCGTCGTCAAGCAAAGGAGAAGGACACGCTGCGGTGAGTATATTTGCGTTTAAAATTGTCAAACTGTGAATCTTATAAATTCCTTTACATAGAAGTAAACCGCGCCATATTTTATCGAGCCCGATTTTTAGTTAAATTCGCCAGCGTTTTATTAGTGGATTCGGCGGCTAACAAACACAATTAGGTGAGTTGATAGGCAGGTCTAATGTTCTATTCAATTGGAAGTAAGATTTTCAACATCGATTTTTCCGATATCGATATTGTTCAGCCCGATATATCGCCATATTGATTTTACATGCAATGAACTAAATCGATTCATGATATCGATACTTTCTTAAATATCGAGCATTCCTAGTTCGGACTGACAACGAAAACACTTTGAAAACGAGTTTTGGGATTGTGGGCTGAAAGCTGTTCGCACCGGCTGTTAGTGTTTTCGTTGACATTTCTTTCATCCTTTGTTTACAGTTTAGCTACGAAAAAACCAAATCAAAATCTTTGTCTTTCATTTTCTTATCATTAGCAACCTTTTTCTTTTGTTCATATTTTAATTTGGCCAACCAATTAACAATAAAACCGAATTGGCATATTAAACATGAGAAAATATGACACTTCGATAAATAATCAAAAAAAGTTGAGCAGACACTAGTTGCGTTCCTTTTCTCCCAGAAATAGTCAGAAAAAGTCCGAAGTAGTCAGATGTAGTCCAAAAAGCGTTCCTTAACTCGAATATGTTAGCAAACGTCAAGCTGTGAAGTTCTACTTATATTGTGCTCTGATTTGTCTTTGTATTTTGCAAAGTTTATTGTGCTAATTCTGTGTAAAAGTTGCTATAAAAAGTGCCTACGAGCATCTTAGTGTGATAATAATCGAAGCTAAGTGAAAGTTTTGTGATTTTTGTGGTTTATATTAAATTTAATTAAATTTCACTAGCATACATCTAATCTTGCCTAGTCATTTGTTGTTATCATTGTTGTTGTAATTCCTTTGTAGTTAACTGAGATCGTTTCTATTTTTGCACATTTCTTTTTGCTCTTTTTGTTTACTTCTTTTAGTATTTCTTGTCACAGCTGTTTGCGTTGCGTTTATTAAGTGTCACAATACAGTGATACTCAAACTGTTCGCTACATATATTTTTAAGCTAAATACATCAGCTCCTAAATTGTTGTGTGTGTTGTGTTAAACTTATTTTGCTTGTCTTTTATTAACATAAGTGTTATTAAATCTTTCAATATGAAGTGTGATCTTGATAACTGCCAAATTAAAAGCGAATCTGAACGCTACTTATCGTGCTGGCTCTGTGATGGTATTTGCCATCTAAAATGTGCTGGTTTGACAGGAAGAATTCTGGACGCTATTAATGATGGCAAAGGTCTTCGCTGGTCTTGCTTAAAGTGCTGGTCAACCGAAGTTGATCTCTTTAAGTTGTTTAGGCAAACCAGAAATGGGTTTTCTGAGGTAGGAAGAGAGTTGTCGGTACTGACCGAAAAATTTAAACATTATGAAAATGTATTTAAATCTTTTAAATGCTTAGATACCGTACAATCTATGAAGGACATTCGTGTGTCAAAACGTAAGCGTCTTCATAGTCCGCCTAATGAAAGGACCGTTCCACGTCAGAACAATCTTCCGAATGACTTAATTAATCTTTCTTCTCCATGTCCACAGCCAACGGAGTTATCTTCCTCAAAAGAACATATATCAAAGTCTGCTTCTAATAATAACGACCCTGCAGTATCTTCCCCTTCCCCCGTTGAAGTTGTGGCACCGCCATCTAATCTTCCAACGCTTACTCTACCCTCAATTAGTAACTCAGTTACTCAACCCCGTCCGCCGGTAATCGAGTCTAATACTAGGAGACTGGTCGTGGTTCCCCCAAAGAAGTCTATATTTGTATCTAGATTTTCGAGGGATACTTCCGAGGACGATATAAAGTTTTACATCTCGTCCAAAGTTAAAACTGTCAACTTAAGTATCAGAAAATTTTATTTTAAATATGAAAGAAATATTTCTTCATTTAAAATAGACGTAAATTTAGAAAATTTTTACATGCTGCTTAGTAGTTCTTTTTGGCCCTCCGGAGCTTTCGTTCGTGAATTTGAGTATAGGCCCAACAAAAATAATAATTTAGCAAATATTCCCCGTCAGAAAACAGAATCAAAAAACTGATTACTAAATCTGCTTTAAGTATTTATTATCAAAACGTAAGAGGCATATATACTAAATTAACGAATTTATATCTTAATGGCCTTGAATGCAATTATAATATAATTTCTTTGACTGAAACTTGGCTCAAACCTCACACTTTTAATTTAGAGATTCTTTCAAATAATTATCATATCTACAGAAAAGATCGGGAGGCCAGAGTCGGCGGTGGTGTACTCTTTGCCGTAGACTCTTCAATACCATCTGAAGAAGTTAGTCTTCCACACATTGAATCTGCAGAATTCAAATGCATTCGTGTTCAGGTTGGAAGGGGGTTTACTTACTTAGCTCTATGCTATATTCCTCCCCGATCTGACTTATCAGTGTATTCACAACATGTATCTTTACTGAAATCAATTAATTCAATGATTAAACCCTCTGATTCTTTGATTGTGTTGGGTGACTTTAATTTACCAAATGTATCATGGAACATCATTGACAATGATATTGTACCTTTCTCGTCTAGCGCGTGCAACAACGTATTTTTAGAGGAGATGGCTGAACTCTGCCTGAATGAAGTTAATGTACTTCGCAATAAGTTTGGCAAAGTATTAGATCTTGTTTATGTTGATGATGCATCTAAGTCGGCTGTAAATAAATGTGACCCACTAGTTTTGCCCGAAGATGTCTCCACCCTGCTATTGAGATATCTTACGAAATTATAAACGATGGGCAAAATTGCGATGTCCAAACATACGAACCAAATATTCGGTTTGATTTTTCGAAAGCCAACTTTAAAAAACTGAATAAAGAATTGTCTAAATTGTCGTGGCCTATATACAAAGAAAAAGTTGAGCAAAGCGTTGGACATTTTAATTTTACTGTACATAGATTATTTGAAAAGTATGTGCCTAAACGCATATGTGTTCCTGAAGAACAAACACAGTTATGGTTCACTAAAGAACTGGGAAACTTGAAAAACAGAAAGTCACGTTATTTTAGATTACACAAAAAATCCGGTTTACACTCATACTATGTAAAATACTCACTTTTGCGTCACAAGTTCTTTGAATTAAACAAAAAGTGTTATAAAGATTACTTGTGTAAAATCAAACGACGTATAATATATAACCCCAAATCATTTTATGATTTCGTCAACTCCAAGCGAAATGTACGTGGGTTTCCTTCCGCCATGAAGTATCAAAATACCGTCTCTGGTGATAATCAAACAATTTCTAACATGTTCGCTCAGTTTTTTAAATCCAATTATTCCACTAACTCCCAAGCATACTTTGACTATCCTTTTAAACTAAGTCCAATTAACTCAATACATAACCCTATAATATCTCCCGATGATGTTTTAGTTTACCTGAAGTCCTTAAAGCAGTCTTTTAGTTATGGTCCTGACCAGATCCCCACTTGTTTTCTTAGAAATTGTGCTGATTATCTCTATGAGCCGTTAACAGCTTTATTTAATTTGTCTCTTAAAGAGGGCGTTTTTCCAAATGTATGGAAGGAATCGTTGATAACCCCCTTACATAAAAGCGGTAGCAGGTCTTCAGTGGAGAACTACCGGGGCATAGCTAAGCTTTCTGCAATTCCTAAATTATTTGAAGCAATTATAACAAATCGGTTGACGCATTCTATCACTTCAAGCATTTCATACAGTCAACATGGATTTTGCAACTTCTACAAATTTACTTGAATTAACATCCTATATCTCAAAAGCATTTAGTGAGAGCAAAACTGTTGATGTTATATATACTGATTTCAGTAAAGCATTTGACAAAGTGTGCCACTCGTTGCTCATCTATAAACTTGATCTTCTTGGTCTTCCACCTAATTTTCTACGTTGGATCTCTTCATACCTCTATGATAGATCACAAAGGGTATTGTTTAAAAATACTATCTCTGACGTCATTGATGTTACTTCAGGAGTCCCTCAGGGTAGCCACCTAGGCCCGATTCTGTTCTTGCTTTTTATAAACGATATTTCTACAGATATAAAATTCTCCAAAATTTTAATGTATGCAGATTATGTAAAACTTTATAAATCGTACGTTTCAATTAAAGAAAGGTCTTTGCTACAATCAGACTTAAACAGCATGGCTTACTGGTGTGAAGTAAATCTTATGCCTCTAAATCTTAAGAAATGTAAAGTAATGTGCTTCTCGCGAAGAGCTGTTCTGCCAGTTTCTTATATAATAGGTAACCATAACCTGGAACAGGTATACAATTTTGTGGACCTTGGTATCACAATGGATCCTAAGCTTAATTTTAATCTTCACATTAATGTGACAGTCAACAAGGCTAAAGGTGTACTTGCATTTGTGAAACGATGGTCAAAAGAATTTAGTGACCCTTATATCACTAAAACCCTGTTTACACCATTAGTTAGGCCGATTCTGGAATACGGCTCGGTGGTTTGGAATCCAAGGTATCAAAATTACTCAGACAAGATTGAATCAATTCAAAAACAATTCCTACTTTTTGCTTTAAGAAATTTCCGATGGGATTCTCAATATAGTCTTCCACCTTATACGAGTCGCTTAAAACTTATTAACCTTCCTACACTTGCCAGTCGCAGGGAAATGCTTGGTATAATTTTTATGGCAGACCATACCTGCTGCAGCTCCAAACGCCGCTAAGTCGATCGCTGCCTGCACTGCTGCTGCGACTGATTATACTATTCAGCCTCAATTACTCTCTTCATTTTCGCCTCAACCTGACGTCTCATTGGTTGATGTTAATCGGGCTCACCTATCTCATGAAATTTCTGCTGCCTCTCCAGTTTCTGATTCTCCTGCTCCTACTGATTCTGCAATCAATGCAATACAGCCTATTGTACCTACTTGTACAAACAACAATACTGTGCCCGCTGATGTTTGTGTTGAATTGCCAGTTATCACTACAACGCCCGCTGCTACTAATCAGACTATTTCTACGCTGCTACCGGGCTCTTCTTCGTCTGCTCAGTCTAATGCTACTCTTACAATTAATCAACTTCCCACTGCCATTGAACAAACTTCTCCGGATGTAACTGCTTGGAATCTTGTGCGAAATAAAAAATTATCTAAATCTAAAGATGTAGTTGTTGGGCGTAATGTGTCCACTGAGCTGGATGTTGCTGTCAAAAAGTGGCTACATATTTCGTCTTTTAAACCTTCCGTTACCGCTGACGATGTTATTTCCTATGTTGCCAAACATTTTGGTATAGAAAATAAACAT